TTCCTTCTCCATCCTATGCATCCTAAATCTTGCCTCATCGCCTCATAGTTGCCTTTCCCCCAGCTATAACTCTTGCCCTGCTTTATATACCGATCCCTTTCCATCGCTAAAGTAAACGTAACCGAATTGTGGTCACTATCACCAAAGTGTTCTCCTACCTCCAAATCTAACACCTGGCCTGGTTCATTACCCAGTACCAAATCCAATGTGGCCTCGCCTCTTGTTGGCCTATCTACATACTGTGTCAGGAAACCCTCCTGCACACATTGGACAAAAACTGACCCATCTGAAGTACTCGAACTATAGCGTTTCCAGTCAATATTTGGAAAGTTAAAGTCCCCCATAACAACTACCCTGTTACTTTCGCTCCTATCCAGAATCATCTTTGCAATCTTTTCCTCTACAATCTCTGGAACTTTTCGGAGGGCTATAGAAAACTCCCAACAGGGTGACCTCTCCTTTCCTGGTTCTAACCTCAGCCCATACTACCTCAGTAGACGAGTTGTCATCAAATGTCCTTTCTGCCACCGTAATACTGTCCTTGACTAACAATGCCACACCTCCCCCTCTTTTACCACCTTCCCTGATCTTACTGAAACGTCTAAACCCCGGAACCTGCAACAACCATTCCTGTCCCTGCTCTATCCATGTCTCCGAAATGGCCACAACATCGAAGTCCCAGGTACCAACCCATGCTGCAAGTTCACCCACTTTATTCCGGATGCTCCTGGCATTGAAGTAGACACACTTCAAACCACCTTCCTGCCTGCCGGTACACTCCTGCAATCTTGAAACCTTTACCAGAATGTTGCCTGGAATGGAGAGAAGGTCTTACGAGGAAAGGTTGAGAGAGCTAGGGCTTTTCTCTTGAGAATGACGAAGGATGAGAGGTGACTTGATAGAGGTGTACAAAATGATCAGAGGTATAGATAGAGTAGACAGCCAAAGACTTTTTCCTAGGGTGCTTTTACGAGGGGACATAGTTTTAAAGTGAGTTGAGGTAGATATCGGGGAGACGTCAGAGGTAGGTTCTTTACTCAGAGAGTGGTAGGGGCGTGGAATGCATTGCCGGAGAGGGTAGTGGAGTCGGCCTCATTACGGGCATTTAAGCGGCTATTAGATAGGCATATGGATGATAGTATAAGGTAGGGGTGGAGGTTAGATAGACCTCAGGTTTAGGGTAAAAGTTCGGCACAACATCATGGGCCGAAGGGCCTGTACTGTGCTGTACTGTTCTATGTTCTATGTATTTCAGTAGCACCAGATTCTTTTTTCCATAGTCAAGCTTTGCTCGGTAGGTTTAAGAGTGAGAAACTGATGCTATTTTGTTAGTGCGGCTGGAACTGAGTTAAAAAAAATCTCTTTAAAAAACCTGGAATCATCAGGAAACATGCCAACTCTTGGGCTGTGATTCAGTGAGCTGAATTCTGAAAATGACGTTAAAAAAATATACTGAGCCATTTAGTAGTTTCATGGTGCGCACTAATCAGTCTCTGACGAACTTAATTGGCTTTTAACTGGAATTAGTTTTTAAAATAAGGCAGCAAATGCTGTCATTGCTGACTCTTTTCATGACTTACTGTTTTTAATTTGGATTCCTCCCAGCCACTGTATTTTACTTTTGTAGCAGACACTACTTTGAATCGAACAAAATCCCAACAAATATCACTGACTTGTTGTATCACGCATTGGAAGATTTTGGAAGTATACGATACTATTCAGAAAAAAAAAACAACTTGGCCATTATTGGGTTGTTTGGACAGGACTCAAACTGTGGTTTTATATGAACTCACCCTCAAACCGATTTGTCCTGGTTCTCCCATACTTCCAGCTGGTCCTAATTCACCCTGTTTTAAAGCAGAGACAAGTTACGTTAACATTACATTCTGAGAAATAAATAGAGATAAATTCACCATTCATCGCTCTAGAGGAGCAGTGGTGATGTTGCGATGATGTCAGGGGATTATTAATCCAGAAGCCCAGGCAAATGATCAGGGGACATGTTTCACCATCACAGCAGAGAATTTAATAAAACAAAACCTGGAATTAAAAGTTGGTCTAATGGTGACCCTGTCAATTGTTGTAAAAAGCCCATTGGGTTCACTAACGTCCTTCAGGGAAGGAAATCTGCCACCCTTACCCGGTCTGGCTTACATGTGACTCCAGACTCACACCAATGTGGTTGACTTAACATTAATGGATGGGCAATAAATGCTGGCCTTGCCAACAATGCCCACATTCCCCGAATGAACAAAAAAAAATTTCTCAATTGGTTTGACTTGGTAAACTATTTATTTTCTGCAGTCATCCCACAGAGGGATCATGCAAAATGTTCTCAGAAGCTACATCTGAACGTGCCATCTATAGCTTTACTTGGTTTTCTAACATGAGAACGAGTTTGTTTGTCCCTTAACCCTCGCTGCCCCTGAATTGAATGGCTTACCCAGCCATTTCAGAGGGCAGTTAAGAGTGGGAGGGAGGCCAGAATTAGAAATGTGGGGAGAATTGGGGTGATCATGGGGGTGTAAGAACTAGGACAGGATAAGGATTTGAAACAATCTATTTGTTGCCTCTGAAATTAACTGTGTCCACATTTTCACCAGGCAGTCTCCCAGTTTCTGTAAACTTCTACACAACCAACAATCTGCTGCTTGTTTCCTAACCCTCACCATGTGCCAGTCACCCACCCTGCCCTGTGCTTGCACACCTAAGGAATCAACACCCTGACTCTAGATTTACTGTTTTTGTATTTACATCCACTCCACGGCCTCACTGGATTCTGAAGTTTTTCCTACGTTGCTGATGTTCTTGTGGTGGTTAGGGAGGTGACTCTAAAACAGAGTGAAGTGTATCATCCACCAGCACTTTTTGTTGGCAGGTCATGGGTCACCTCTCCGTCACTGGAAGCTGTGTGCCCATTCTCACATCACCAACGCTGGGTGCCAAGGAATCTCTCCTGAGTGAAATGTTTCTGGAAAACGTCTGACAAACTTTGGGGATCGGTGACCAGAAATGTCACAATTAATGCAGAAAGAAAGAATGTTTCTGTTTAAAGTGACCTTGCGCTAAACATGTAAATACCGTGATGGAGAAAAAAACATAAATAAAAAACAATGAATGGGCTGTATCATCCAGACAAGAGGAACATAATCAAGGGCTTTGCTCATGGAACTTGAGATTTGAACATACAGACAACCCTAAGATAATGAAGCAAGGATCCTTTACTCCACTGATATCAGATAATTATAAACATGAAGGGAAGATATAGTTAAACAAAGAAGTATTTATATGGAGTGAAGCCTGTGATTTACATCTGGTTTAGGAGATCCTTCACCTGTCTGATATTTCTCCCTATCTAGCCTCCTTCCTCCTGGGAGGGTCAGTTTAACTGCTCCAGCTGCCCTGTTTGGTGCCCTCTCTCACTGTTGCCACCTGCACTGGAGGTCCTGTCAAAAATAGCTTCAGAATAATTCAGATGTAGCTGTTCATAGAAGTGGGGGAAGAAACGTTTGCCGTCTTAAGGCACCCACTTTGTAACAGCACAGTGAGATTCACAGGTTAATTAGTAGGAAAAATAGGAGCAGGAGTAGCGTACCTGGCCCTTCAAACCTGCACCATCTTTCACCAATTAATGAAAGATCTCCAAAATGAACATCATCCTCCTTCACTTTCTGGTAACTCTGTGGTGATTCTCCTCAGTAACTGAGCAGGCAGTGACCTCTGGGGTGGAGAATTCCAAAGATTTAACACCATTGAGTGAAGAGGCTTCCTGTAATCTCTAAGTGAGACGATTGGCCAGATTTTCCTCAACTTTGAGGCTCCATGGAGCTTCCAAAATGGCAGCTGGAGGTAGCTATAGCTAAAGGGAAGAGCCTATCATTGTAGGTTGCCTGGGTATTCCGGCTCCCCTGCAGTTACCTCTGATCTACCTCCAGGCGGAATGGGTCAGAATCTGTCCTGCATCAGGACCCCCACCCTCTCCTGCAATTAACCTCTGGGGCAAAAAGGTTCTGAAATTCTGAAAAGGGGTCACTCTGCTTTCTTTCTGCAGATGCTGAGTTTTTCCAGCAATTTCTGGTTTTCCCCTTTGGGGAATACTGTGTCAAAACAGCTCTTCCGGGTCAGGAAATTTCCCAACTTGAGTCACCCATTTCAGTCATGGAAACCCAGCCCTATGGCTCTGTATTCCCAAATTGCTAGCCAGAGGAAACAGCCACGAAGCATCAATTCTCTCCAACTCTTCGAGAATTCTCTATGTTTCAGTTACAAGGGCTCTTAGTCGTCAAAACTCCAGGGAATAACATGCTAATCTTCTCCATCGCTCCCCACAGGACAGTCCTCTCAACCCACAGTCCAGGTGAGTGAACGTTTGGAGCACAGAAACATAGAAACTAGGGACAGGAGGAGGCCATTCGACCTTCAAGCCTGCTCCACCATTCAACATGGTCAAAGTTGATCATCCAATTTAGCACCCTGTTCCTGGTTTCTGCCCATACCCTTTGATCCCTTTAGCTCCAAAGAACTTCTTCTTGGAAACATTCAAAGTTTTGGCCTCAACTGTTTTTTTGTGTGGTAGTGAATTCTACAGGCCTACCACTCTCTGGGTGGAGACAGTTCACTTTATCTCAGTCCAAAATGCACTTGTGTTTAGAGTCCTTCCTTAAGTAAGGAGTTCAAATTTCCCGACCACAAGCAGACTAAAATGTTCTCCAGTGCAAGCTAAATGTCTTTCAATGTTAACACTGATGGGAAATTGCACCTTATCCTCCAACCTCCATGTAATTGTATAGGGGAGGGAGCCCTCGGTTAGCTGGCTGTTTTGTTTGCACCTACCTTAAAACTAGGTTCCCCTGGGTGTCCAGGATCTCCCATTGCTCCTGGAGGTCCCTGTGCCATTAAAAATAAAAACACTCTTTATAATGTGAAGCATTTCTGATAGAATCGTAGAATGACACACAAACTAAAAGAGCCCATGCAGCTTATTTTGTCTGTGCTAGCTCTCTGAAGGATCTCTCACTCTCATCTTGCTCTTTACCCATTCCCCATAAATATTTTTGCTCCAAGAATTTATCCATTGCCTTTTTTATTATTATTTCTTTGAAAACACATCCATTCCAGATCACTGCGTCAAAAACTGTCCTCAACACCCCTCAAGTTGTGTGTTAATTGGGTAAATACAAACTCTTAGGCCACTGCAAACTGCTTCTCCTTTTTAACCCTCCCAGAATTTTGTCAGGAGTGTGATGGAATACTCCCCACTTGCCCTGGGTGGGGGCAGCTCCAACAACACACAAGAAGCTCAACACCATCCAGGACTAAGCAGCTGCTTGATTGGCGCTACATCCACAAGCATCCACTCCCTCCTCCACTGACGCTCAGTAGCAGCAGTGTGTACTATCTACAAGATGCCCGGTAGAAATTCACCAAAGATCCTCAGACAGCACCTTCCAAACCCACGACCACTTCCATTTAGAAGGACAAGGTCACCAGGTACATAGGAACACCACCCCCCTGCAAGTTCCTCTCCAAACCACCCACAATCCTGACTTGTAAATATATCACCGTTCCTTCACTGTTGCAGGTAGAAATCCTGGAATTCCCTCCCTAAGGGCATTGTGGGTCAACCCACAGCACATGGACTTCAGCGGTTCAAGAAGGCAGCTCCACACCACCTTCTCAAGGGGCAACTAGGGACGGGCAATAAATGTTGTCCAGCCACATCCCACAAATGAATAAAAGAAATGATGGCAGACCCACTGAGCTTCTCCAATATATTCTGTTTTTATTGCTCCACAGAGAGTCAGCACGAATTTGATGGACTGAAAGGCCTCTTTCAAATGACTCCACAAATGACTCTGAGGTATTGGGGAGGTAATTCTTTTCACATATTGATGAAGTGATAAATATCGGCCTGGACAATCATGTGGTCCAGCATTTGGCCCCACAGAAAACAAGGTTCCAGCTTCTGAATACAAACAGCAGGAGCTGGAGAAACTCAGCAGGTCTGGTTGCATCAGTCTGTTTCAGAGCTAGACTCAAAACATGAACTCTGTTTTTCTCTCTCCACAGAGGCTGCCAGGCCTGCTGAGTTTCTCCAGCAATTTCTGCTTTTGTTTCGGATGTCCAGCATCCTCAGCATTTTACTTTTCAGCTGTGTATTGGATTTAACACTTCAACAGCGTGAAGTTTGAGATGAGCAAAGGAATAAATAAAGTATTGAAAAAATTACCTCTGGACCAATTCCTCCAGCAGTACCAATCTCTCCAGGTTGTCCTCGAGGCCCCTATAACACAAACAATGTTCTGTTTGAAACCATGAACCAGCTTGCTTAAAAAGGACAGAGTTCAACCAAACAGGAATATTAAGAAATATTTACACAGTGAAGACATTATTGTATGCAATATCATTGGATTAGTAAATTACTGAGAGGTGATATTTTAAAATTAAATTGGTGCATTTGCTCTCATAATCTATTCTTGTAATCACCCTCAATCGAATTCTTGCTGATATCTTGTTGTGATACTATGCTGTAAGGATGCTGGGAATTAATTATAGAATGACAACTGGCTAGAAGGAGGCCGTTCAGCCCATCCTGTCTTTTTCCTGTTCTTTCGCCACTAAAATCAGTCTCCTGTGGTTCCTGGTCCTTCCACCAATAGGAACAATTCCTCAACATCGACTCTGTCCAGACACACCGTGGTTTTGAACACCACAATCAAATCTGCCCGAAACCTTCCCTTCGGTAAAACGACCAGAATCTTTCAGCCCCGTATCTCTCCTCCCAATCCATCTCCTCTGCAGCCAGACAATTGCCCTCACTCCCTTCCTGAAGTTTGGTGCCAAGAGTTGGACAAAACACACTGAACATTCTCCGAAGCCATTTTCCAAGGATATGCAACACAAGCTGGGACAACTCAGAGTGCCACATCTTTTTGTGAACGTTGTGGATATGTTTGCCTGGACGTTTATGAATAAATCTTATCGTGACCGTGCAATTTAATCAACTGAATACATCTGTAGCAGAAACACAGTGATTTTTCTCTGATCTAAATTTCCCTGGGGATCGATCAGTCACTTTAAGCAGTTCCCGTCTTCGTTTGAAATAAGGCTGGGTTCGCAGTCAATGTAACGGCAGGGAATGTGTTCCCCGTCCATGCAGTCAGCAACGCTTGTGTTCTCAGTCAATCGCTGCCCCACTTTCCAACTCCTAGCTGCCACCCAGCTCGCCCACTCACTGCCTCTTTTGCTGACCCCCTGGTGCCCCCACTCCTAACCTTTGAATCCTGTACTGTGCAGTGGGATGTTGTTACTGGAATGTCTGCTTCAGACAGGCAGCTACTAAACAGCTTTCAACTTTTCCTTAGGTGTCTGTTTTAAATGAGACAAAAGGAGCCTGAGTGGATGGGGTCAGGGCTCACACACACCCAGCAAGGCTTTCAGTTTTACTTTCATGGTGTGCACATGTCAGTGTCAGACTGGAGTGTACAGGGTCAGAAATCACACAACACCAGGTTATAGTCCAACAGGTTTATTTGAAACCATAAGCTTTCAGAGCGCGGCTCCTAAGTTAAGGCTATGTTTTCTTTGCATTTTAACAGTGTTGTAAGAATAAAGTGTGTTTTGCTTAAAGCCTATTATTGGACCAATCAAATTACATCTGGAACACAGCATCTTATACTTGCCTTTAAATAACATAAAAGTTAGGATCGAGGCTACTTATTTGCTATACTTTGGGGATCTGGTCTGATCCATAACCCCTCTCTGCCTATCTGCCTCAAAGCCCTAACCTTAACCCTCACTGCCTGCTCTCTCAGCTAAGCCATACACCAACATCCTGTTCCACATGTTGCCCAGAGACACACTGATACATATAATGTACTGAGGAAGCCTTTTACTCCTGTGGTTCTGAAACTGAAGTTAACTCAACTGGTTTTCCGGGAGGTCCCATCTCTCCAGTGCTCCCAGGAGGTCCTGTCAATCCCTGAAAGGAGAATCCAAATGGTGAAAACTACTATGTGGTCTTGGATTTTTGGAAGCCAGTTCCAACTCACATGTAAAAGAATACACAAGGTGAACCACAAAGTAACAGACAATGCAGGAAATATTCTCACAATGTGTGATATCCTGTGCCATGAACAAAATAACTTGTATTTATTACGGTACCATTCAAAACCTCAGGACACCACCACAGCCTTGAGAGCTACAGTACAGGAAGTTTACGGTCGTAGGAGAAAATCCTGGTCATCCCTTTCACCCTGTTGAGTGTCAGTACTGAGGGAGTGCCGGACTGTCAGAGGGTCAATACTGAGGGAGTGCCGGACTGTCAGAGGGTCAGTACTGAGGGAGTGCCGCACTGTCGGAGGGTCAGTACTGAGGGAGTGCCGCACTGTCAGAGGGCCAGTACTGAGGGAGTGCTGCACTGTCAGAGGGTCAGTACTGAGGGAGTGCCGCACTGTCAGAGGGTCAGTACTGAGGGAGTGCCGCACTATCACAGGGTCAGTACTGAGGGAGTGTCGCACTGTCAGTGAGCCATTTTTGAAATCTGACATTAAGTTGATGCCCCATTGTTCTCTCTGGTGAAGGTGAACAATTTAAACTACAAGTGAAACAAGAAAAGGGCAGCTCTGCCTTGTGTCCTGGTCAATAGCGATCCCTCCAGCAGCCTGACTAAAACAGATCACCTGGTCATGACTACATTGCTGATTGTGGGATCTTGCTGTGTGCACTCCATTTGTGACAACAGCGGCTGTAGTTCAAAAATCCTTCACTGGCTGTGGAACACTTTGAGGTCTCCTGAAGTTATTGAAGGTGCTAGAGCAATGCAAATCTTTGTTGCTTTGCTTTACACTATGTGTAAAGATTGTAGGCTTTATCAGTGACTTATACTCACGGGGGCACCCTGCGCTCCCCGCTCTCCGGGATTCCCAGCTTTTCCCTGCAATTCAAAAAACGGGTGTTGAATTTTCAGCCAACTACAGGAGGCTGGAATGGGATTTCTTTGCAAAATCATATCAGCCTTTCACACTTACAATAAGTCCAGTTTCACCTTTTCTGCCCACGTCACCTCTTTCTCCCTGTAAAGCAAACATATCTTTATGGTACACCATGAGGCAAAAATACTTCTGGTGCTATGTCGAGCAATAGAGAGACTCTCAGCCTTTGTGATTATTGAGTGCCCAGGCCCTCGGTTATCTTGGCGATATGCCGGCTAACTCCACTACTACAAAGCAATGGCAAAATGAGCTTTCAGCCTCTGGCTGTTGATGTTAACACAGAATGAGAACACTCAGACATCAGCCACACAGCAAGGGCTAGCAGTGAAACACTAGAATTCAGCAAGCGGGGGGTCGGGGGTGGCGGCCGGGCGGTGGGGGTAGGGGGGGAGGTGGGGAGGTGGGGTGCTGTTGTGGGGGTGGTGCTGTGCAGTGTGTGCAGAATATGGTGGCTCAGTGGTTAGCACTGCTGCCTCACAGACCAAGGACCTGGGTTTGATTCCACCCTCAGGTCAATGTCTGTGTGAAATTTGCACATTCTCCCCGTGTCTGCGTGGGTTTCCTCCAGGTGCTCCAGTTCCCTCCCATTGTCCAAAGATGTGCAGGTTAGGGTGGATTGGTCATGCTAAATTGCCCGTAGTGTCCAGGGATGTGTAGGTTAGTTGGATTAGCCATGGGAAAGTCAGAGATACAGGGATAGGGTGCATCTTGCTGTGCTGCTCTTCAGAGGGTCGGTCTGGATTCGATGGGATGAATGGCCTACTTCCACACTGTAGGGATCCTATGATTAAAATAATTTTTGTCAGAAATATACGTGCCTAATCAACAAGCAGTTTTCCACTCAGTTCGTTCACAGAGCAGTTCAGCAAAGTGCTCGCTCAGTAACTCGAACTGATACTGAAATTCTATCCAGTGAAAGTGAATAATTACCTTGTTACCTTTGGGCCCTTGTTCTCCTGGGGAACCTTCAGGGCCTCTTGGTCCCTAAGAACAATGAGAATGAATCCTGTTAAAAATTGTTCAGTCTCTTCCAGGACCCACACTGTAAACTGAGGAACCACTCTTGACAACTGATCATGTGATTCTCATCACTGAAACTCGTGAAAGCAGAAAGTTTTGAGATTGAATATTCTGCTCGGATTTGCTGTCTTGCATTGGTGCACATTACCATCACCATTGCAGTCGGCTTTTACAGCACATTTTATGTTCAATGCCATTTTCACAATCTTTCTCACCTGCATTACTCTGGCATCCAGATTCACAGAAAACCAGCAGGGTTCCTGGGATAGATGAACCACCATGGGGAGATTCTAACAATTACTCTCATTTGCAAGTATTTGAGGAGTCATCAAAGGTTTTAGAGGGTAGGGCCAAAATTAGAAATGTTTCAAAAACTTCACATGAAAATGTTTATCTTTAAAGTTTAATAAGATGTTTCTGTAACCAGTGAATGATATTGAAAAAAGACACATTTTGTCAAAGTTTCTCACCCTGACCTTGTCAGGATCCCTTACAAGAATGCCAATACTTATTCTGTAGGAGGGAACAATGCTGATTGGTGGAGATGTGGGCTGCTTTGTGCGGGATGGTGTCAACCTTCTTGAGTGTTGCTGGGTCTGCACCCATCCAGGCACGTGGGGAGTATTCCATCACACTCCTGAAATGTGCCTTGTAGATGATTGTCAGGCGAAGGATATCAGGAGGTGAATTACTCGCCGCAGTATTCCTAGCCTCTGACCTACACTTGTAGCCACTATGTTTATGTGCTGAGTCCACTTGAGTTTCTGGTTAATGGTAACCTCTGGGATGTTGAAAGTGGAGGATTTAGCGATGAAGGTAGTAAACCCTGAAAACAAATCTGAGGTCTGACCCTATGCTGGACTGCTGTGTGAATGTATAATCTGTCCAGCAACTCCTGCAGCCAATCTGACCCCGTGTTTTGCATTTCCATTGAACACAACCCAAGAGGTGGACCCTGACATTTGGGCAGCACAGTGTCCATATATATTTCAAAATTAACCCAGCACCACACTCAACTCCATCCCCACAAAGAGCCAGAAGGATACATTGTGCTGTCAAACCAGAGGAAGCTGTAGGAAGCCTTTGATGCCTCACAAATCAGAACAAACCACTTAAGTAGCACAGACAGGCTCGGAGCCTTCAGAGCATCCTCCACCTTGTAAACTCTCCAGAAATGGGGCAGAGAGATTAGACAACGGCTGAGTTACAAATGAACTGTTTCTCAATTGTAAATGCTACTTACTCTTCTCCCTTTGGTACCTGGTACCCCTGATGTTCCTCTCCGCCCTGGCAGACCCTAGACAAACAACAAATGACAAGTGATTCATACTTGGAGAAGAATAGACTTATTAGGGATAGTCAGCGCGGCTTTGCACAGGGAGGACTTGATTGAGATTTTTTTGAGGAAGTTACAATGAGATTGATGAGGGTAAGGCAATGGATGTTGTCAACATGGACTTTACTAAAGCATTTGACAAGGCCCGTCATGGTAGGCTGGTCCAGAAGATCAAATTACATGGGATCCATGGGAGTTGGTAAGTTGGATACGAATTAGCTTGGTCAAGGACGACAGAGGGTAGTTGGGGAGGGTTGTTTTTCTGACTGGAGATCTATGACCAGTGGTGTTCCTCAAGGATCAGTGCTGGGACCTCTCTTGTTTGCATTATATACAAATGGTTTGGGTAGAACTATAGGTGGTCTGATTAGTAAGTTTACAGACAACACTGAAGTTGATGGAGTTGTGAATATAGAGGAACACTGTCAAGGGATACAGCAGGATACAGACTGGTTGGAAAGTTGGGCAAAGAAATGGCAGATGGAGGTTAATCCAGGTAAGTGTGAGGTGATGCATTGTGGCAGGACAAACACAAGAGGAAGGTATACGGTGAATAAGGAGAGATGATAAACTAGTGGTATTATTGCTAGGCTATTAACATTTCAAATTGTGCAGATAATACAAACCGTGGGAGGATCATAAACTGGGAGGAAGAACATAGAAAGATGAGCAGGCCATTCAGCCCCATGAGCCTGTTCCACCATTCAATAGGATCATGGCTGATCTGTGGCCTAACTCCATTTACCTGCCATTGGCCCATATCCCTTAATACCTTTCCTTAATGAAACTTTACCTATGCCTCCAGGAAAGATACTTCAGTGATGAGGATAGATTGGAGAAGTTGGGACCGTTCTCCTTGGAGAGGCGAAGACAAAGAGGAGATTTGATAGAGGTTTTCAAAATCATGAGGGATTGGGATAGACTTTATTGGGAGAAACTGTTCTCACTCGTAAACTGATCAAGAATCAAATAGGACAACACATCCATAATAGCACAAGCCGAACAGAGACATGTCAAGGAATTCCTGGAAACCTGGCATTCCGACCGGAACTCCATCAACAAACAAATTGAACTGGACCCGATATACAAACCACTGAAAAACAGAACGGAAGTGATACCACCCACCCCAGCAAACTGAGGCTTATAAATAACAAGTGGGACAGAACACCAACACTTCACCGGAGGTGCACTGACGGTGTTACCTAGCAGGGTGACAAAACGTCTGTAATCAAACCCACCGGCTTGTTTTGAAGTGTTTTACAAAAGAAGCAAACACATGGTGAGAAATAATCTTTTCATGCAGTAAGTAGTCTGGGGCTGGAATGTTCAATATGGTGATTTAATTTGAAACAGTGGCAGGGTTATGGAGAAAAGGTAGGAGACTGGCACTGAGTTAAAATGCTCAGAGGGCTAGTACAGGCACCATGGACTGAATGGCCTTCTCCTGCATTCTGTGAATCTGTGATATGAGAATGAGGCCAGCCAATCTTTCTGAATGGCTGCATGCCTGACTCAAGGCTGCAGACAGAATCTCAGAAGAACAGAACAAAAACAGAAGTTGCTGGAAAAGCTCAGCAGGTCTGGCAGCATCCGTGGAGAGAGAAACAGAGTTAACACTTCAGGTCCGGTGACCCTTCCTCAGGACGGTTCTGAACCTGAAACTGGACCTGAAACGTTAACTGTGATAAATTTGAGTTGACACAGACAGCTCCATCGATGACACGGATCGAAGATCTGGCAGCTTCTATCATTCAGTCACAAGTGCTCACGAATCATTCACTGCTCCATCTGAATACCTTATCATTTTACACACAGAGGTACCTCGAATTCAGGGGTTAATTTATGAGGAAAGATTACATAAACGAGGCCTGTTTTTTCTAGAATTTAAAAGGCTAAGGGGTGATCTGATCGAAGCCTTCAAGCTATTAACAGGAAAAGACAGAGTGGATAAAGATAAACTATTTCCACTGGTTGGGCGTTCTAGAACAAGGGGCATAGTCTGAGAATTAGGGCCAGACCATTCAGGAGAGATGTTAGGAAGAACTTCAACACAGAAAGGGAGTAGAGGTTTGGAACTCTCTTCCACAAATGGCAGTGGATGCTGGATCAGTTGTTAATTTTAAATTGAGATGGATAACTATTTATTAACCAAAGTTATTAAGGAAAATGGTTCAAAGATAAGTATATGGAGGTAGGCTGTAGATCAGCCAAGATCTCATTGAATAGTGGAACAGGCTTGAGGGGCTGAATGGCCTATTCCTGTTCCTGTGTTCGCATGTCCAAGATACAGTATGAAAAACTGAACCCCTATCATATCAATAACCATCATTGACTCATCTTAGCGTTCAGTCCCTTCCAACTGAGCCTTGAATTTCACACAAACAATGTGGCAACCTGAAAATCAGGAGCAGGAACAGACAACCCTCATCACCCACTTCATTATACCACACGATTGGTGCCACTCGCTGAGGGAGAGTGGAGTTGAAATGAAATGAGCTTGCTCCACACGTCTAAGCTAAGAATTTCTGTAATGTTAGGGTAATAAAAGAGATGTACTCACTGGTTGTCCCTGTTCTCCAACAGGACCTGGCAGGCCCGGAAGTCCCATGTAACCCTGTCAAATGAAACAACAACGACAAAGGAATTAATGTTGGGCCCTGAGGAGCCATCCCGGCAGAAATGAGTTGCCTGGTCGGGTGTTCCTTTTTGGTGCATGTCAATGCTGGCCAGCTTGCTCCAACCAACAGTTATTGTTATAACCAAATGCATTTCCTCAAAATGATGCTGCATAAAGAAAGTGCAATTTCATTTTCTTCATTGTTTTGTGGCCCATATCGCATTTGTTACCAACTCACCTACAATAGTTTGGTATCAACAGCATTGCTGTGTGCCAGGAGTTACAAGTAGGCCAGACCGGGTAAGAACAGTAGATTTCCTTCCTTAAAGGACATTAGCAAACCAAATGATTGGATTTTTCATGATGGTTGATTATAGCTGTCATGATTATCAGATTTATGAATCAAATTTAAGTTCCACCCTTTGTCTTGGGGATTTTAGAACACATGCCCCCAGACCAGTGACCTTGGTGTGACACCACCATTGACTCCCTGACAATGGGAAACAGCCTTTCCTGACTTGGAACCAATTTTGGATCCGAACTCCACCATTTTGGATTCAAGGGGCTTTTAAAAAAACCATAAGACAATAGGATGTAGAAGCAGAAACAGGCCATTCAGCCCATCGAGTCTGCTCTGCGATTCCATGAGATCATGGCTGATCTGATAATCCCAACTCCACTATCCTGCTCTTTTCCCATAACTCTCGATTCCCTTACTGGTTCAAAATCTGTCAATTTCAGCCTTGAAAATACTTAATGATCCAGCCTCGACAGCTCTTTATGGTAAAGAATGCCACAGATTTGCTCCCTCTGAGACAAAATAAATTCCTATCCATCTCTGTTTTATATGGGTGACTCCTTACTCTGAGATGATGCACTCTGGTCCTAAGCATATAGACTGCAGCAGTTCGAGAAAGCAGCTCACCACCACCTTCTCAAGGGCAAAGAGGGATGGGCAATAAATGTAATTAATAAACACCACCTTAACTATTAAAATTAAGAAAAGTCAGAGAATGAAGAAGCCATTTGGCCCATCATCTTGGTGCTGATGCTGTAAGAGATCCTACCACTTACAGTCATTGACTAAAAGCTTAGAATCCCTGTGGTAAATACCATAGAAATCAGAGGAGATGCTAATCACCAATTTTTAAAAACACATCTTCTCTTGGATAACGTGTAAAGACAGGAATCACAGAGTGTTCTCATTAAATTAGATCCTTGCCCAATAAACACTTTGCTCTGCAGTAAAATGTTAATGCTGTAGGTGCTGTCTATTGCTCTGTACATTTAATTACAAATAATTTTTTTGATGTTTGTTTGTGATGATCTCTGTAATCCACATTTTTCAAAAACAAAACTATTAAACTGCGCTCTCTAATGCAAACCATAACATCTGCTCTGCATTTCCTTCAATTTTCTCCTTAAACCACGCAATGAGAGGACTCACATGCAGTGGATTTGTCATTTGAACAGTGGTAAAACACTGAGGCTGCTGTTATCCCTCCACCTCAACATCAAATGCACAAAGAAAATGTCGCAATGAAGACAAATGGAATTCCCCAAAACTTTCACAACCTCCTCTAAATGATCAGGGGTTACGAGTGGTCATCATAGACAGAGTTTTAATCAGTATGGGAATCATGGGTGATGGGGAAAATGCAGGAGAGTGGAGTGATAATTGACATATTGGTCCATATTGGTACTGAAATAACTGCACAGGGGCTGGGTCCTGTCACCAAGTCACCCTTTATTTACTGGTGTAACCAGCCAGCTTGGGCTCAGTCCTCTACTGAGGAGATTCTAATCTTTTGGTTATGTATTTTTTTCCAGGCCCAGGCAGCAGGAGATCCAGAGTGGGCCCAAGCAGCAGCAGGACCAGGCCCTGGCATCAATAGCAGAGCCAGAGTGGGGGCCCAGGCAGCAGGAGATCCAGAGTGGGCCCAAGCAGCAGCAGGACCAGGCCCTGGCATCAATAGCAGAGCCAGAGTGGGGGCCCAGGCAGCAGCAGTAGGACTAGGCCCAGGAGCAATAGATCCGAGGTGGACCTCCTGTTTATATCGGTCAGCCAAGGCTTTCATGATTGGCCCAGGTTAACAACCTCAATCAAGAACATCACCTGGTCCCAATCACTACACCCCCACCCCCCTCCCCCAAGTTCGGGGATGTAGGCCTGGTATTTCACTTGTAGCTTCTCTTGCGATGTTTATGCCCCAGGTCCATTCCTCTGACTTGGACTCAGCCACAGGCAGTGAGTACCGAACTGAAGCCTGTCTCTTGCTTTCGGAGCATCTCAGATGAGTTTCCTCTACTTCTTCTGGCAGTGACAGTATCAAGGCTGCATCCATTTCAGGCTCCTTGACACTAGACGGAGGGGGAGAACCTACATTTTGTGCTGGGCCTTCAGGCCTTCAACAGCGCTTCAATGGAGGCTATACAGCACTGAAGGTGTCACCTAGAAGGGAGACGATAATGCTTACACAAAAACTAGTCAGACTCGGTGAACCAACCAACAACACCAGTCAGAACCCGAGCTACAGATCTTCACTAAAACACTAAACTTCGGGCCTTCTGGATGTTCTGAGGGGGCAGGTATGTTTTGCTCCTGCCCCATTTGTGAGGTAACAGTATTCAGGTGGTCCGCATGTTTGTTCAGGACTGCCTCACCTACCTGAACTTTGTAAGTGACGGGACCTGACCTCGTGTCAACCTCCTCTCATACCCACACAGGGCCATTTCCATGGTTCCGGCACCAAACCTCATCCCCTGAATTAAATTGTCTCTCGTTTAGAGGAGGCATGTGGCCATCACTGGTGTTCCTGCTGCCATTTCACCCTGCACCCCCTCAGGGCTGGGAAAATCAGGTTTAACCTGGAGCAGCGTCTTCTCCCCATCAGCAACGCTGCTGGAGCTATCGCTGTCGTTGCATATGGGGTGGTTCTATAATCGGACAGGAACTGGGACAGTTTGGCCTCAAGTGACGCTGTAGGCTGTTTCCTTAAACCTGTCTTCAATGTTTGGGCTGCTCTATCCACGAGACCATTGGACGATGGATAGTACGGAGCTGTCCTTTTGTGCCAAATGCCATTTGTCTTTAGGGAATATTGGAATTTCCTGCTGGCAAATGACGTCCCATTGTCCATGACCAATACCTCTGGGAGTCCATTTGTTGTGAACGATGCTCAATCATCATCCCCGAGTTTGCCGAACGAACTTTAAACACATCCAACCACTTTGAATGGGTGTCCACAATAACCAGGAACATGGAGCCCCTGAAAGGACCAGCATAACCGACATGTAACTGAGTCCAGGGTTTTCCCGGCCATTCCCACAAATATGTGGGCACTGCTGTGGTAATTTTTTGCCCTTGTTGGCACTCTGGGCACTGCCTGCCCCACCAAAGCAGCTATGTTGGCATCCAACCCTGGCCTCCAGACATAGGTACTTGCCAGCATCTTCATCCTGGAAACCCCTGGATGACCCTGATGTATCTGGCAGTGACCCTTACTCAGGACAATCACCCTTGCTCCCCACAGTAATATGCCACCCTCTACGGTGGTCTCGTCTCAGTGGGGCCAAAAAGATTTCAATCCAGATTGCAGTGGCCCCTCCGTTTGCCCCATTACCACCAGATGTTTCAGTCTCACTGGGACCGGATCTTTTTGTGCCCACAATCGGATACTGTCCTTGGTGACCAGATGGGTTTCCAGGAAGTTCAAAACCAGAACGGACTGTTCTAGGGGAGGCACTACCGATGGAGTAACTGCCAGTGGGAGGCAGCTTAACACATCTACATTAGCCAAACGGCTTCCTGCACGTTTTTCTAACTTGTACACACTGAGAATAAGGAAGCAATGCTGAATTCTACAGGAAGCTATGGGCAGCACCACCTTGTCTTCCTTCAGTAACCCTAGCAGAGCTTTGTGATCTGTTACTATGGCAAATTCCCATCGGTAAAGGAACGGGTAGAACTTCTCACACCAAAGATGACCACTAAACCTTCCTTTTCTATCTGGGCATATTTGCATTTGGCATCCGCCAAAGTCTGGGAAGCTTTCACTTTCGGGCGTTCCTCTCCATTGGGCCACCAGTGAGCCAACACTACCCCGATACTGTGTGGGGTGGCATCACATTTCAGCCCACATCTTGTTTCGGATTGTACTGAGCCAACACCTTCGATGACGATAGCTGCTTTTTCACAGAAGTCAGAGGGTTAGTAGTGGAGGGTTGTTTTTCTGACTGGAGGTTGTGATCAGTGGTGTTCCCCAAGAATCAGCGCTGGCACCTCCGCTGCTTATAATTGATACAAATGGTTCGGATGAAAATATAGGTGGGCTGATTAGTATGCTTGCAGACAACCAAAACATGCTGGAACTGTGGATCATGAGGAAGGTTATCAAAGGATACAGCAGGATATAGAAAGCTGGAAATTTGGACAGAGAGATGGCAGATGGAGTTTAATCTGGACAAGTGTGAGCTGATGCATTTTGGGAGGTCAACTGCAAGAGAAAAGTATACAGTGAATGGCAAGACCCTTAGGAGCATTGATATACAGAGGGATCTTGGGGTGCAAGTCCATAACTCTCTGAAAGTGTCAAAACATGTAGATAAGGGGTAAAAAAGGCATATGCCATGTTTGCCTTCATCAAAAGGAACACTGAGCATAAAAGTTGGTAAGTTATTTTGCAGCTGTATAAAACTTTAATTAGACCACATTTGGACGTATTGTGTGCAGTTCTGGTCGCCACACTATAGGAAGGATGTGGAGGCTTTGGAGAGGGTGCAGAAGAGGTTTACCAGGCTGTTGCCAGGATTGGAGAGTATTAGCTATAAAGGGATGTTGGACAAACTTGAAATGTTTTTGCAAGAGTGTCAGAAGCTGAGGGGTGACCTGGTGGAAGTATATAAAATAATGAGAGGCATGGACATGGTGGATAGTTGGATTCTCTCTCCCAGGATGGAAATGTCAAATACTAAAGAGTATAGGTGTGAGGGGGAAAGTTTAAAGGAGATGTGTGAGGTAAGTTCTTTACACAGAAGTTGGTAGATACTTGCAACGTGCTGCCAGAGGAAGTGGTCGCAGCAGATACGATGGCAACATTTCAGAGACAATTAGACAGACATATAAACAGGCAGGGAATAGAGAGATACACACCATGTGCAGGCAGATGGGATCAGTTTAGAATGGCATCATGGTTGGCACAGGCGTAGTGGGCCAAAGGGCCTGTCCCTGTGCTGTAGTGTATGATGTTCTATCAGATCAGACATGATTTCATTGAATAGCAGAGCACACTCGATGGGCTGAATGACCTACACTGCTCCTTTGTCCTATGGTCTTATCTGCTGTCTGATGTTTCAAAGAACAAGACCAGATCTCACTGAACGTGCAAAATTCTTTGCGGAAAGAAGATGAGAGATTGCCCCACTGCGCCTCCTGGTTGGACTTTCGCAATCCATGGGGCAGAACAATGGCACAGCATATCGTTTTGCGACGATGAATGCAAATTACTCAAACTGCTGCCAATATTTGGACCTCCCTGCTCCATAGTGATAGATATTGAGCTAAACCGCATCTTCCTGCTCTACAAAGTGATTGCAAATCCATGCAATCAGAGTGCTGTTGGTAAAGGGATAAGAATGCTCAAAGGACCATGCCTATGCACTTACATTCTGAACCAGGGGCTCTGAGGATAAATGGTCCACACTTAGCAGCTCACATAGGCCACCAGGAGTAGTTCAAGAGCTGTCACCTCACCTCGTTCATTGTTCTGGTGTTCAAAATAGAAGTGCTTTTGCCTCTTCCTCACCCTCGTGGCTCAGCTGTGTCACCTTAAAGATCGGAACACTTAGAAGAGGAAGGGTCACTGGACCCGAAGCGTTAACTCTGATTTCTCTCCACAGATACTGCCAGGCCTGCTGAGCTTTTCCAGCAGTTTCTGTTTTTGTTTCCGATTTACAGCATCCGCAGTTCTTACGGTTTTTATTCAAAACCACAGAGCTCATGTTATTCTCTGTAACGGTAAAGTAATCCTAGCAATTTACAACTCAGGGAATGCCATTGAGTCCACTGAGTTCAGACAAGCCTTTTGACAGAGAGAATCACTTTTAGCCCACGCCCTCACCCTCTTTTACTTTACCATAACCCTG